TAAAGCACAATATTTAAAAAAATATATGGCAACTGTCATAAATAACAGAATGTTATTATTTCTGCAAAACTAAACTAATTGAGTACCAAATGTTCAATATTGACTACTTTTTTTTTAAGAAATCCAAAACAGTTAAAGAAACAAATCTATCATAGATTGACTTTTTCTATTATAATTTGTATATTAAGGTTAATACTAAACTGGTGGTTGGAAGTTGTCACGAAGAAATCGTCAACCTAATTGCTGTATTAATTAAAAATTGTCAGTAGATTATATCAGCAATTTTGAGGGAATTGATGTTCCCTGGTGGAGTTAAATTCAATGTTACCCAGATTCATAATCAGTGACGTTACCATTGGGTGATTTGAACTGTGATTAACCTACTGTAGGACAATAATTTATTGCTGATTGATTGATTACTGAATAATGACCAATGTTATGTATATCAAGCTTTTCTTAGTGATATTCAGATTATTTATATTCTTTAAAATATGAAAATGATTATAATACTATTGTGATTTACATAAAAGACGAATTTTACAAATTCCCATTGTGGCTAGACTGAACTTGTTCAATTTTCACTTGTAAATAATAGATTAGTAGTCACATAATAAAATCACGCATTGAAAATAGTTTATTAGTAATATCTACAAAAATCTGATAATATTTGGAAGCATTGATTAACTTTAGTCGAACAATTTCAGCAATATTCAACAATCTCCACAAACTCATACTGAGAATTGATTGATGACTAGCTCTAGGATAGAATTCACTGAGTCGTAGGGAAAAGCCATGAAAAGCGGAGTTTAATTGTGTCGAGTGTAAGGTAGTTATTCACTGAATACAGTAAGAGATGGTCCTTTAATACTGTAGATTGATTAAAGTTAGGCATGTACGCTACTGAATCCAGACTCTGTGATCCAAAAGTTGTGTTCACACTCGAGACTGCGTACGATTCCTGGTTGTGCGGTCGTAGATGCGCATGGGTGATGAGTTTCACACTAGGACTAAGCGGATATCTAGTGATTTCAGATTTTAAGTGGTTGTCTAGCTTAAATGGGTTCATGATTTTATTTATTTTGTTAACAAGTAGTATATGTCGTCTCTGTAGTCTGGAGAAACCCGCGAATCCCTGTTAAATGCTAGTTAGTACTTATTATTCCCTTAAATCTTCCAGAAATGCCTCTCTGATGTGTCCCAACCTACAGAAACTTGGATGCAGGACTTTTTATTGACTAAAGTGTTAAAAATACTGGAAAGCTTGTATTACAGAAGCGAAAATAATCTGTTATATTTTGCGTTCAAAAACAGATTGTCCGGACCTAGCTCAAGAACTTAATGCTATACTCTGTCAACGTATTGTCAGTAAATCAGGTGGCATATTTCAGTTTATTATATAATTTATTTAAATAATACCTTGTATGAAATGAACCGATTTAATGAATACAGAATTATAAATGAATGCTTAGTTGAAACTGGAACAAAGTATATTTTTGAGATTAACCGAAGCTACAAGAAAAAATAATACTGAAACTATAATTCACAAGAAAAATTACGAACTGTGGAAATCTTTAAGCAAAGATGAATAGTGGCTAGCAGTAGAATCCAGGACGCACGTTTCATCCTTTTTGGGACTCGTCCTAAATAACAATGGGAAGATACAAGTAAAACAACATCAAGTGAATGTAAAACTTCACCCCAATACACAAGTATATGGCTTACATGACTCAATAGCTATGTGGATAACGCGATGGTGTTTTAAACGAATTGTACTGGGTTTGAGTCCCAGAGTGAACATCAATTCTGGGATGCAAGTATACCCAGTTGACGAGTCCCAAATAGGATGAAACATTCGTCCTGGATTCCACTGCTAGTCACTATCCATCTTTGCTTAAAAAGCTTGTGACTTAAGACTATATCGAGGTTATACGTACAGTATGCACATATGCCAATAAGAGACTGATCAATTTCAGTCGTAAATAACAATGGGAAAATCTAAGTAAAATAACACCAATTAGATTTAACTATGAAAATGTTTTTATTCCAAAAATAATAATTCTTGTTAAAGCATGAAGTTTATGCATTGATATGAATTTTCCAATTCTACATTGTTGCCAACTATCTCTATCGTTTCAACCTTATACTATCGAACTTAATAACAAAGCCTATATTTATATCATACACTCCTTAACTAACCACTTTAAATTTTAAAAGTAAATATTAGACTCTTAAGAATATCATATTATTCTCACATATGAATCCATCAACGAAATATATATATAATTCACAATTACAATGGTATCATCTTCAATATCATTGTAATGAATAACAGTATTTAGTTGTCTATAGAACATGAAAGAGGTCATCATATATATAGGAATTGACAATTAATTGACAGATAAATGACATTTATTGAGGTTTCAGTTGATATGTATCATCATAAACAGAATAGATTTAATTCAATATTGTTTATTAATAATCACTAAGACGGTAAGTTGAATATCAAAATTAAAAGAAAGAAATTGATTCATTTTGACAAAAAAAAGTCATATATTGTAAATGTTTTGTCGGTAGATCAAACATAAAGTAACCCCCCTCATCATCTAACTTACAATAGTTAACTTCAGTAACGGTTTAAATAAACATGATCCAATATGGATATTCTAAGATGAAATTGATTCATTTATTAGTTACCCTTACTTATAACAAAACAATGTCTTGTCATTTTCTTTGTATTATTGTCATTATTAGAGTATAATATTACAAAAGAAGTGTTAATTTTGTTTTTCACACATATGCGGTGATTAGTTAATAAAGAATTGAGATATAAGACATTTCATTATTGGATCATGTTTTGTCTACATTGTACGTATGTATGTGTACGATAGATGAAAAACAAGTGAATCATAAGTGAATACCCTTATATATATGTAAACACAAACAGACAAAGATATTGAAGGCGGTATTTTGAAAGAATTATTATCAGTATTCAATCTATACTAAGTGTCTCACCTTTTTTGTGTCCACGACGGATGATGATTTTAATGTTTATCTATGATCACATGGTAAAAATGACAAGCAGTAGATGTTGTTGTTTTTTTTTGTACAAGATCTACATAATATTATCCCCTATATGTATAAAGTAGACAAAAAATGATACAGGATATACCATTTAATATGTTTGTTTACCTTTGTTTTCTTATATTTAAGAGGTCATTTATTCAAATTATCTAAGATAATCATTCAAAATTTAATGATTTACATTATCTAATTTCGATTGATTTGTGTTATAATCATCGACTATGGTTGGTAGTCGTCTATCTAACACCTAAATTAAAGTAAACAAATCTCATTGTCAATAGTATTACACATAGATTAGATGAATTGGAAATATATTTCTATAAAACTGGATAGTGTACAATATATTGTACAACACTATATACAAGCAATACAAATGAGTGTACATTATTGTGTACTTGATTTCACAAGGAAAGTTTTTGTAACTTGAATACACTAACCCAAACGATTGTGCTGGATTCCAGTGCTTGACATATATCAAATAAACTAAAAAAATTGTAACATAATACTTCATTCAAACAATCTACTAAGGATTCACATATAACCATAGTGATTGGTCAATTACAATCCTAAATACCAACAACTGAAAATCACAAACACCAATACTCTATTAGACATTTTATTCATGGAAAATGATCGACAAAGTTTTGATCATGAAAAGTAGTGATTAGAACGCTGAATTGGTTACTTGACCGGTTATTTTTAATCAGGAAGTGATATATACATCCAGATTAATAGACAGAAAAAACTACAATGACAAGACTTCTCACTTAATGATTTGCATTTTTATGATTTTCGTATGCGTTTGATCATTGACTGCATTATCATGTTTTTTTTCCTGTTTAGAATACATTGCTAAATAAAAGACGTATACTAGAAGATTACAATAGGATAGACTATTGTATTTTCACAAGTCTTGTTTTATATAATAACAAAAATGTCCACAAATCATGATGTTTACAAACTATCACCAATATTATCTAATGAGTCAATAGATTTGAAAATGCGAAATCACGAAAATAATTGGTCAACATTAAATAATCATGGTTGTACATGGACATCTAATTGTAACACTTCTGTTGTATCTGATACAAGCAGTATTTATACAACAGAATATTACAAACCAATTTCATCTAATACAAGTAATTCATGTCCAATTCAAATTCATGATCAGTCTAGTTCAGTACTAAGTGAATATTTATATAATGGTTCAGATATATTTCAATCATTAAAAAATATCAATACATCATGTATTAATACATATAACAACAGTAATGGTGATCCACTTGATTATTCTATACATTCTTCAATCGATAATCTTAAAGATCCCACATTAACATTAAGTAAATCTCATATTCAATTACAATCAAATTATATTCAACCTTCAATCAGTCAAAAAAATCAAGATAATATTCAATCATCCTGTATATTGAAGAATACAATAATAAGTTCTCCCATGAATACAGAAACTACCGGCGGACGATTATTAAAACGTAAATATTCTAAAAATATTTCAAATTTATCAAAAAAATATACTGAAAAACAATTAAAAACAGAAAGTAAGAATGATACCGGTTTAAATCATCCTGATATTAATAACTGTGATAAGATTACTGAAGGTAATAGTACTAATACTACTACTAATAATAATACTGATAATAATAATAATAATTGTAATGTTATTCAATTTAATAATAATCAATTAATTACAACTAGTATCTCTAAAGAAACTTATTTGTTTACTAATAATACATATAAAAAAACCAATTCAATATCAAGAAAAAAATCAAAATCAATAATGATAATCAAATCAATAATAATCATGAAATAATCAATAATAATATATCAACAATAATTCCTACTACAATGGATTATTCAATAACTAAAAATATTGATAAAAATAAAATCAATACTATCGATAATAATAATAATAATAACAATAATGTAACAAAGAAAACTAATGATTGTCGTGCAGCTTATAAATATTTAACATGGCGTGAAAAAGATCGTAGACGAAGATTTCGTGAAGAATGGAAACATTTATGGCTTGTTATACCATATGGACTTTATGAAGTGAGTTACTTACTAATATTAACATATCTTGAGGAAGAATTTTTTCCTCATTTTGGCAATAATATATTGGATCAAATTAAAATATGCAAATTTGTAAAATAATAATGAATTGTTGAATAAAACTTAATAACCTACTCTATTTGATAAATGAATTTTTCAATATATAAAGTACTGAAAGAATATTTACAATTGATTGATCACTGAGTGGGGATCAATGTTATGTATGTCAGGTTCTTCTTAGTGCAGATCGGATCATATTGACCAAGTTGCAATGTGGCCACTAGTCTAGGTGACTTGACATTACGTGCACCATGTTGAGATAAGATAGTGGTTGGAGGTAGTGAACAGGAAACCCTGTACTTTGGTGTTGTGCTACTTGGTACTCGTCAGTAAGGTATACCTGTATTATTCTTGAGGGAACTGATGCTCCCTGACGGATTCGATCCCATGTCACCCAGCTTCACAGTTAGAAAACCTACTACTGAGCTATCTGGGCCGCGACTGACCTCCTGTAGGACTGAGATGTATTTACCATTGATTAATAATTGCGCGGTGATCAATATCATGTATCTATATATGAGAGAATATAGTTGAAAGTTGGGTTTTACTATTTTTAATAGAGTAAATAACCAATTATTTAAAAATTACATAATTCACTTAATTGTTTTTCGATCGGTATTTTATTCTGATTAAAAAAGAAATATCATTAGTTATATCAATTAATCAGACAATATTAACTACTGAAACTATTTTCCTTAATGGTTATCCTTTATCCATTTGATTAAGTGGAATTACTAGTAGAGTTCACTCATGTCACGTATAAGACATTTACGTACCTATAGTATTGACATATAATCAAGCAATTTTGTAAACTGATTGAAGTATGTAAACTTTTGGCTACCAAATCAATCATTGAAAGGTTAATCATTTAACACAAGATCTATGGGTCCGTGATTCAATCTCTGGTAGGGTAGTGAAAGAACATTTTTGGCGAATCTTACACTAGGATGAAATAACTTTCCAAGGTGGTCTATCTCTCAATAGTTTTTTAAATTTTGGCATTCGTCACAACAACAACAAAACTTTATTAAAATTATGATATATTTCTTTTCATTCTATTACATTTACTCCTTAATATTAAAGTTCAACCATAATTGATTTTGATCAAACAATTTAAGTTATATACAGTAATGTAACCTAATGACATCTTTCTTTCACTATGATATTGAATGAAAATCTTGTATTGATAACTTGAACTAATGTACACTAACATAATGTCCAATGTTGTCAACTTTCTTGCACAAATTAGTAATAAATAAATAACTATTACTAGAATATATATCAAACTAAACTGATAAACTATTTCCATAAGTTTAGTAATTGGTTATTACAATGACAAAGAAGTATAATAAGTAATATACTTGAATCTGATAGCCATTATAGCTATAATCACAGTTATATTTAGAGTACAAGTAAAATAAGAACAATCGAATCTTAATTACGGGATCATGATTGTACACTGATGAGTAGTTTCATACTAAGATGAAATGGTTATCCAGTGGTTCTAAGCTTTCAATCATGGTCTAATTTAGATCGACTCATGATTTCAACCGTGACAATTGTATAATTGTTAATTTCACTTAAACAGAAAAAAAAGTTTTGTTTTTGAATGAATAATATTTTTGTGCATATGAATATTAAATCGTAATCTGATGAACACATTGGCTTAGAGTATTACATTATCATTCGGATAGATGATTCAAAAGAATAAAACGACTCACCAAGTTAAATTTTTCCCTTATTATAATATTAGTTTAAATGAATAATTGAACATTTATTTATTTGTTGAGATTAAAGATAACAACCAAACACTTCCTTTATAAGCAAATATAGATAATAACTAGCATTGGAATTCAGGACATGCGTTTCGTCCTATTTCAGACTCGTCGGATGGATGTACCTGCTTCTCAGAGTTGGTGTACACTGTGAGTCTCTAGGATGTAGGTATATACAGCTGACGAGTCCTATAGAGAACGAGACGTTCATCCTTGATTTCACTGCTAGCCACCACTCATCTTCGCTTAACTGTTTGCGACTTATGGTAATATCAAGGTAATCAACACAGGATGGATGTATGACAATAATAGACTGATCAACTGCAAGCCTAAGCATCAGAGAGAAGATTCAAGCAAACAATACAACAATGAATAAACACAAATAGTACTAATAATAATAATAACATCTTTAAATAGTAACAGAAAAGTCCGAGAAAAGGCATGTTACTATGAGATTAAGATTAAACAGATGATTTTAAAAAAAGTCACTCTTAGTTCCTAATAAATTATATTTATGGAGTTTTGTTCTCTGAGTTGGATGGTTTGGTCGTGGTGCTTTCATCGTTCTTCTGAATGACATCATCAACACTTCTACCTGAAGTTTGTACTGATGATATCGTTGAAAAGAACGATAAAAGTACAACCAAATCATCCAGCTCAGAGAAAAAAACTTCATCGAAATCATTAACCCGAGCTACAAATCTCTACTATCTCTAAATTATATTTATTTCTTACTCTAATGATTCACTGATTATTATTCTAATTCAAGGAGAAATTGAAATTACAACTGGTTACTAATAAATTAAAACATTCTGAGATTTATTTCTCAAAATAGATTAGTATTATCCAAAGACAGAGAGCAAATATTTTCTTAAGTGTAATTTGAGGATAATATAAGCTTTCATATGTATTTAGTTATGGATATTTAGATTTCATTGAAAGTATATTAGTGTTGATTACATTCAAGTCATGATAGAACATATTCATATCACCTTACCACAAATATAAAATGGGATATTTTTTACGATTAACTATTTAGTGAATGACATAATAAGATTGTAGTGAACGAGAACACATGTAGGGACAATCGAATGTATTTCAACACAAAATTACAGAATATCTTAGCAAAACATGCGAACCATACAGTGAATACTTCATTTACAAAATGTAAATCGATTGTCTCAGACTTCATTGTTCTTTCATTTCCAAAGTAATCATTCTTTGTTCTTGTTCTCTTTTTTTAGATCTTCTTAAACTTCTATTACCAGTTAATTCACTTTCGGTTAATGATATATACTACTTAAATTTATCAATATCATTGGCACACACCTCAAGATAATTGTTTGAAAACTTATATTCAAGTTTGACTTATCTCGGATCCACTGAAGTAGTTCCAACATGTTTTAATTTCATTCATATTCGAATGCAATAATATTAATTTTAACTGGAACAAAATGATATATATGTATTTAATGAAAAATAAAAAAAACATATTTTGATGGAGTTTTGTTCTCTGAGCTGGATGGTTTGGTCGTGGTGCTTTCATCGTTCTTCTGAAATGACATCATCAACACTTCTACCTAAATTTTGTACTGATGATATCGTTGAGAAGAATGGTAAAAGTACAACCAAATCATCCAGCTCAGAGTAAAAAACTTCATCAAAATCATCTACCTGAGCTACGAATCTTCTCCACCATCTCAATAAACATATTCCATAGTCGCTAATTGTCTTTTAACATTATCAAGTAACCATAGATGTATGATACAGTAATATTGTAACGATAGTCTCTTTTCCCTACTCAGTTCATTTTATTAATTATTCATAGCTAATTGACACCATTTCTTGAATTACATACATTTGATTAGATATATGTATTTATACTTCATTGTCTCATCTATTTAAGTGTAGAAAACATTTCAATATAGAAAAAGAGTTAAATACAAATCAAAGTTAATATAACCGCCTTTATTTCTTCCTCCTCCTCCTCATCCTCCTTTGTTTTCTCTTTTTGTCTTTCAAACAAAGTTTTATCATTAACATTATCGTCATCATTAACATTACCTATTTAGTCATTCATTTTATTCTTTATTATATTTTAATTTACCCTAATAATTTATGCAATTGACAATGTAAATGTAAGAATTTTTATTAACATTATAAGCAATAATTCTCTTGAGTATTATTATTTAAACTTTGCAAAACTGATAATGACATTATTGGTAATGGTAATAATGAAGATAATGATGATGACAACGGTTTACACCTTTTATCCTTAAACGTAATCTATTCCTAATAACCAATGTATAATAGTGTAATTTAAACAGTTACAAATATTCATTGTCAATCTATCTACTTATCTATCTATATACACAACTAGAAAGTACACTTAATCCTATCAAAAATATTAATGACAATAGGGATAAAATATTAAACAGAAAGTATAGTAGGCTAAGTGAAAATGATAGAATGAACCAACTTCAAGAAAAATTTCAATATTTCTAGACAATATAATTTTTAAAGAAAAAAAAGGAAAAAAAAAGAAAAGGAATTATATCGTCATATTTATGATATAAATATACATAGAGTAGATAAAAAGTGATCATAATGTTGTGTGTGCTACTGATGTCCATAGATCTAAGTAGTATATATCATCAATCGAAAGTAAAATACCTGGTGGCAGTAAGTTATGAAGATCAAAGAAATGAGAACAAGAATAAAGAATGATTACTGTGAAAATGAAGGATCAGAGAAGTCTGAGACAATCGATTTACATTTTGTAAATGAAGTATTTACTGCATGGTTCTCATGTTTTGCTAAGATATTCTGTAATTTTGTGTTGAAATACATTCGACTGTCCCTACATGTGTTCTCGTTCACTACAATAATATTGAAACTTAAAACAAATCACAATAATTTTATTTTGATTATGTTATATAGCTATATCTCCCGGAAAAAGAAAAAGAAAAGAAAGAACACAAAAATGAGATAATCATCACAATTCCACACTAAATTATTCCTTTTTTTGTTTACTTAAAAACAAAAAAATGTACATCCTTGTACATTCACTCAGGGAAACACAACATTAAATAAACATATATATATACATAAAATCAGAAGGGGTTATTGTAGATATTATAAAAATTTCAATGGTTGAGGCTATTAGTCAATTGAAGCTAGATAACCATGGAAAACCTGGAAACACTGAACAGCCGTTTCGGCCTTGTATGGGACTACTTAGCAGTGCGCATCCATGATCCCGCTTCGCAAGATTCAAACCCAGGATATATCGGTCTTGCGCGCGAAACCGCAGCAATAATAATAATGTTAATTAAGATCAAGGTAACGATAGTGATAAGACGTACTTCTTTCGCACGCACAGTTCTGGTTTGAGCTCATGGATGTTAAGAGCTTCGGCTGTTTTTAGGACTTGCATATGAAGAAATCTAGGTAGATTTGAACGAATCATGTATATAAAACCTTAAAATCAAACTGTGGATCCATACCATGATTACAGTTGATTAATCACAGAATTAGTACTTTAACAAAAATTATATATATATATATATACGACTGTACAGCTTGATAATAAATTCGTTGAAAAGGGATCCCTTCGCTGAACTTCGTGTTTTCAATTTTTAATGCTCAATATATGTGTGATATTAAGCACTTTTTCTAATATTTTACAATCAACTTAATGAATAACTGAATTGTGCAATATCAAAAAGATATAGGTAAATAGTGTTAGATTATTGAAATGAAATCCCAATGAAAATCATCCTTTTTGTATAATGTGATATATTGCTATTGAATGAAACATGTTACACGTTGTACTTGTATTGAATACTGATAAAAATAAATGGTTACTCTCAAATGGAAAGAGTTGACTTTGAGATTATATAGTTGAGTAATCAACACCATTTGTTCTTAAAATTTATTTTACTGAAATTTCTTAATTATTAATTGAAGTTAGACATTAACACTGTTGAGTGCCGGCCGACTCAGTGATCTAGTGGTTAAACAATCACGTGCGACCTGAGTTTGAATCTTGCAGGGCGGGATCATGGATGCGCACTGCTGAAGAGTCCCACAATAGGACGAAACGGCCATCTAGTGCTTCCAGTTTTTCCATGGTGATCTAGCTTCAACTGACTCATAATCTCAGCTATTGAAATATCCATAACACTTTAAGTATTGAATGTTGAATACAAAAATGTCACTAATAATAGTTCCTTTTTTATTTAAAAAAATAAACATAATCATTCATTTGTTGATGATAATAATAATAAAACAAAAACAAAAAAATATTGATATTGATAGTCGATCAAAATTTTTTATGTTTCCAAGGTGATACCAGACAAGAATATAATGCATAATTCATAATAGATAAAGGTGAAATCAACCTGGATTTATATGAATTTTTCACCTATTTTTTTAATTTTTTGGTTAAGAAATGTTCATACCAAGTAGAAATGTTATTGAATATTATAATTTAGACGAAAAAGAATGTTTTGGTCATCTAAAATGATATTTACATTGAATTGATCTGTATAACTTGATTGTCAATCGATTTTAATGGTTTAAAAGTAAGATTTTTGACTACAATATGGTGTGTACTACTTATATCGATATAAGTAGTATATAATATTTGTTAGGAATAAAATGTCTGTCAACAGAAGCTCAAGTAGATCGAGGAGGAAATAATGGGAACAGGAAGCAGGAACATTGAAGTCTGAGACAATTGACTGATATTGTACAAATGAAGTATTCACTGTATGTTCCTCAGATTTTACTAAGATATTCTGTAATTTTATGTTGAATTGTATTTGGTTGTCCGCTATTGTTTCTATCTGATAATTTAAATGATGGAAAAAATGTAGCAAGTGATCTTAGGTTAGTAAAAGCGGGTATACATGGAAAAACTGATACACTCCATGTGTTTTACATTTAGTTCGCCCAATTTTCAAGTCATAAACTTTATACTATTGAACTATTCTGACTATTATTAACGAGGAGCATTAATTTCTTGAAGACCATAGGAATGATTTGTTTATTAAGTGTCAACTAACATGAAACATAAAGTTACTTCTTGACTTCGTTTCATCACCTAATATAGGACAAATGTATAATCACATTATCTAGTGACAACAATGTATATTAATAAGTAGGATATGATTAGTACAAATATGACATTGGTTAATCTTCAGCTGAATTATACCCTACATATTATATACTGAAAGGAAGTTTCATATAAGCTAATAAGTAACACATTTTTAATTTTGAGTAGCAAATTGCGTGTATCATTATTGTTGTTGAGTTTCTGATGGTATGTAACTTATGAAAGAAAACTTTTCTTTAGTTAAAATTCCAAATTATGATAAGTTACAGGTGATTGGTTAAACTTTAATCACATGATTATTATCATCTGTACGCAGAGTTCGCTCTAACTTTGGCTATGCACAAATTTCCCGTGTAAACCTTCTTTGAACCAGTTTTTCCTATTCTGTAGACAATTTTAAACTCAAATTCACGATGTGGGATCTGACCCAAATTGACTGTTTGAGAAGTGAACTTTTGATTGATTTGTGTACCCCTTTAGATAACCATCCAGGGTAATGCTCGGATATTTGTTTACCAAGTACGTACTTTTCACGGTCACATTTTCTCAGAATATATTTTTTTTTAAAGGATTAGAATTTATTATTCTATGTACCGTTGACTTTTAACATTGTACATTATACTGATTTTGCATGAATGTGTTATTTATTATACAGTTGTACAACTGATTTAATGCCTACGACACTACACCACTTATCTATTTTGATTTTATTTTTAAGCATAGCTTCTAACTAAACCACTTTTTCTGACCTTATGATAGACTAACCAAGACTTAATTAAAGTATAAGGCATTAAATTGACTACACTTCTTTTGTTAAATGAAATGACATGGATCATTTATTTGTTTGAATAGGATCATCAATGTTCAACTACATGACCATAGTTTTTAAACACCTAGTACCTAGTATTACTGTCACTAACATTGATAATATTAATATTCCTTTTCCAATTATTAAGTATCGTCCACACAACAAGGACCATCTACTTTTTACAGTTATAAACCATAATTATTGAATACAGTTTCATTTTATATAAAAAATGTTCTAGTGGATAAATTGTCATTTAATGTAAATATTACTTACTGACATTATGATTTAAGAAGTGTCATCTTTACGATTGATAGATGACACCATCATTTATAATTTTATAAAGTTTATAGATCTATCAAAATGATCACCCACGAAGTATTAGAAAATTGCTGTCACGATCAAATTATCAAATAAATAAAGTTTGCTTTTTAATCGACATACACGAATTTCAAAATCTACTTATATGTGCTATAAGTACTATGTACACATGAAAAATATACATAGATACCGTTTGTACACAGATTATTTATTATTTAAGCCTGACTGAGTTCATAATAAGCTGTTTGACTATGGATTTTATTTTGTTCATTTGTTTTATTGTTTTTGGTTTAACATTTGGTTGATACAACATGATATGGTGTATGTAAATAACACTTGAGTTGTACAGGTTAATTTGATCCTTGTTGAATGACAAAACTAAACCATTTAAAACAATAGATTATTTCATTTATGTAAAGAAATAATTTTTCTTACTGTTTTACTGACTGTTTATTCTGAAACTACTAGATTGTTTGTAAGTAGTTAAATGTTTACTCAGTAAATAAAAAGGTCTGTTTTTTTGTTCATCTGTTCTTCCAGGTCATGTGTCTTGTTTGTCATAAAGTGATGACTCAAAGAAAAGTGGATACGATCAAACGTCATACTGTTAGACGACATGTGGAATTAATAGGAATGTCTGATTCTGAAAGGGAAAAATTATTTGATCAATTAATTAAACAGTATACTATGCTTAGAGTCACTAACTACAATTCTTCTAACGATGTACCTAATAAGTTGCATCAGAAATCAGATTGTCTTTATCAAACTGACTCTACAAAAAACTGTGATGAACTTTCAAATGTGAAAGCATCGAGTGAAGTTTTGACAAACAATTTAAATAATACTAATACATGCCTATTTGAACAACATTCTGTTATGAATCGTTTAAAAAAGATCGATACAAAGAATAACAACTCAATGAATAGAGAGTCAGATTTTCAACACCTACTGACGAAACAGGATAAACAGTTAAATTGTAAAAGTTATCAGACAACGAACACAATCCCAAGATACTCTCGGAACTCCTGTTCCAAAAAATACAAAAGCTTACTGGAAGTTAAACAAGATAGAAGTATTATTGAAAATTTAGAAGATTTACCAACAAATATACCTGAAAATTGGGATGACCCCTCAATATTTGAGGAGAAATCGTTTCCTTTACGAAAACCTCTCATAGATACACCAAGACATCATTGTGATAGATTAGAACATCCCTATAATAAAGAGAGCTTCCATGCTGGAAAATTAGGTTCAAAAGTGATTCCTTCAAACACTAATTCAATGATCCATTTATTTTCACCATTTTCTACAGTTGTTCCAATATCTAAATGTTCTTCATGTACATATCCTTCTGAGTCAGAGAATTTTCATAATTTCTTGAAATCTTATGTCTCAATGAATTCTCTCTTGTCATCAAACATACCAACTTCGTCAATATCTTCATTATTAATGCCACAGATATTTCCCACATTTAACAGTTCAAATAGGTTATCAACCAGTATGAAATCAACTTCAAGTTTATATACAAATAGTGACATTAGCTATCATACTGGGAGTAACAATAGAGATAATAATAATGATAGTGATAAATCACATCAAAATCATCAATTGAGTTCTACAGAAAAACAGACAACAATAAATGATTATCATAAAAGATCAAATCATTTATTAGAATCTTCAATAAATACAGAAATGAGTCTCACAAATTCTATGTTAACTGATAATAATAAGAATATAAAAGTTCCATATATGCAACAATACTCAACTCAAAATATTTATGATGATTCTCACTATAAGTCGGTACATTCATCAAATTTACAAATTTCTTCTGTAAGTTAATTCTAAAGATTTTCATTTAAACAATTATTGATTAAGATCATTAACCGATTGAGGTTAGACCACCATCTTTAGAAACCTGGAAGCACTGGACGGCCGTTTCATCCTATTGTGGGACTCTTCAGAAGTGCGCATCCACGATCCCGCTCGCGGGATTTAAACCCAGGGCCGTTGGTCTCGCGCGCGAACGCTTAACCAACTGGGCCACTGAGCCGGCATCCAATGGTGATAGTGTCTAACATCAACCAATCCACGAAATTGCGACCAACTTCCGTTGTACTGAGGCAGATACCTGTCTCTACCTGACATGGATTGGTCGATGTTAGGCACTATCACCATTGGATGCCGGCCAGCTCAGTGGTGTAGAGGTTAAGCGTTCGCGCGCGAGACCGAAGGCCCCAGGTCCGAATCCTGCGGGCGGGGTCATTGGTGCGCACTGCTGAGGGGTCCCACAATAGGACGAAACGGCCGTCTAGTGCTTCCAGGTTTGCAAAGATGGTCTAACATCAACCGGTTCATGATCTCAATCAAAAATTTAATAATCTCCACAACCCTATACTAGTAAATAATTATTGTCAGAAAGGGATTTTGTGGATGTTATATTTATTTAATAGTTGAATTCATGAGTTAATGGAAGCTAGAACACCATAGAAGACTTGGAAGCACTAGGCGACTGTTGAGTCTTGGTGTGGGACTCTTAATCAGTGCACACCCACGATCCCGCCCCTCGGGATTCGAACCCAGGACCTATTGGTCTCGCCAACGAGCATTTAACCTCTGGAGGACTGAAATGGCATCTGATGGTGCTAATGTCTAACTTCAACCATTCCATGAAACTGAGCCACCGTCCAACAAAAATCAATTAATAATTTGATTTTGAGTTAGCTACATTAATTAATTGTATGGTTGGTTTCTGAACCATTAGAGTTTGTGGTAAACATATTAGGTTTTTCATTGATAAATTTATAAATGTACTAAAATCAAATGAAGAAAAGATGAGATAAAGCAACTCTTTAAGGTTAGGTTTATTACATTTCAAACTATTTATATCCCAGTTTTCTCATTGAAAGTTAATCATTTCTTAACTTTGTATACTAAGACATGTTTTAACCATAAAAAGTAGTTCAAAGGTGATGCAGCTTTCAAAGATGAAATATATGTTAGTTGTAGGAAATAAAGGTGATTTTTAAAAGCCATACTCTCGTTATCTCACTCTAAGGATTTCATTACTTCACTATTCTTTCCATATTATATGACCGAAAGTAATGAATCTGGAAATCGCACAGAATATAATGATTTTTCCTGTATAAGTTAAACCAAGAATGACAAAGTAGTTCTAATGAGAATGTTTATGGTATTGAATGTGACTCAGGGTTTCTCTTCAAGGTCACAGAACCATTTCCCCCATATTATTGACAACAATTAAATTGAGTCCAAATCTTGGAGCCTGTTAGAGATGTAATGGATTTTAAACTACTTCATACATAAAAAGAAATCGAGAAAGTTGTTGCCAAAAAACGGTTCGGGACTTCTTTCAGCTGATCAAAATGTGGCTTAAAAGTAATGAAATAAGGTATATTTTTGTCATAAACTGAAGTCTATCTGAAAGTAATTAATAAAGATCAACTTGTAATCTTATCAGATCCTTTCAATCATCAAAATGATAGAAATACATCTTTACAAAAAATTATTTGAATAGTATATTAACAAAAGAGAAAATAATACTGGGTACATTACAGTCCATCTGCAAAATATTCTGTTAACAGGACTGATAGAAAAGTAGGTTGACAGAATTTTTCTTGTAGACAAATGAATTAGAGATTACTAACAGCTTTGTAAGTAGGATAGTGGAAACTTTTGAATTACATTAAAAATAGTTTATTTATTGCAGACTGATAACTATAATAATGTATTTCTTTACCTAAGTTGGTAATGCATTTTTTGTGGTCCGGGATCTTGGGCCACAAAGGTGGATCACATTGGGCTCGCCACTTTAGTGAGGCCCTCCGTTTTAACGTCTAAACGGGGGGCCCCACATATTATCATTATCAATAAAATATTTCAGTTTTGAATAAATATTCTTCTACATTGAACTGGTACTCGGTTGCATTGCATGATTGTACAATTGAGTACAGTTAGGCCAACTGAAGCATGGTGGTATGTTTTTGACTTACCTAGGTTTTAGTAGAAAGGGATATTTATTTGAACGTCGCAGAAGTATGAACTACAACTATTCGATCGTTAAAATTTGTAGTTTAATACTTAAACCGACTTAAGTGGGGTGTTTTCTTATACTTAATAAACGATTGAATAATAATTCTTTTTCATTTATTTCCTTAACAGAATTCGAGTATTCCAAGATCTCTACCATTTACGATGTCCACTTTCATGACAGATTTCTCAAAACACGAAACAGATGATGGGATATTTCCGAAAACGCCGGAATCTAGACTACATACTTTAGTAAATAAGAGAAACTCTGTACATATGTCTAATCCAGAACTTTTTAATGGCTGCCCTAATAATCACAAAATATCAGATAGGAAAACCGACTTTATTTCAAGAAAGGAAGATCAGGTACTAAACCCATCGGGAACAAAATCAAACTGTAGGAGTAAATCAAATTCAGGTTCTAAACAATTCACCATTTCATCTTTACTGAATATCGAAAGCTTGTCTTCACAAAATAAGACATCGTTGACAACACATCCTGACGAGTTAATCCCTGATATTCAAAAGAAAGATACAATATCACTAGGGTATGACTACCCTAATTGGTCTACCCAAAATCCACAAGAAAAACGAGAATTAGAACAACTTCCTATCTCATGTGTTCTTTGTAATTCGGAATCCGTAAATAATTGTATTGATGATGCAAGAAAACAATTTATATCCAATGTACCAAGTGAGGATAATTTATTCAGGACAAACAATGACTCATTAGACATATCAATAACAAAACAAATAGATGCATCGAAAGAAAGGCAGTCCGCTTTTTCAAGTCCTACAGGACTGTCTAATGTTTCAGTTCATCGTAAATTATTAGAACATTATACTAGTATACCTGAATTATATCAATCATATACTGACATTTTCACTTGATATACTTTTTAAAAAATCAAATACCAATTAACTGTTTGTCAAATTCCAATATTTTCCACAATCAAAATCTGGAAACACTTGGAAACTATATGAAGTTATATTATCTTGAACTGTTACGACATCATTATGATGTACCAAGTACAGATCTTTCCACTCAAAGGATACCAACAACATTATGCTCTTATATACATGAAGAAAGTAAGTCCTTATTTAATAATCTTTTAAGTATATGATAATTTGTTTTATTAAAAAAATGCTACAGAAGGATTCATCAAGTAATGTAACTTGGAGTTGGTAATATAAAATAAAAGTTTGGAAGTGAAGAAAGACCTACCACTTTTAGGTAAACATCTCCAGTTGTATAGGATGATTTACTAGTTATATGAAAGCTTATAGTAGACATTAAACAGATGATTATTACGGTTACGTTTCAAGTATCAATGATTGAATGATTTGAGGACGTACATTATTCTTAAAGAAAACAATTTGATTATGTTTAATTATCCTAGTTTTCCTAGGTAAATAAACTTATCTAAATTTTGTTCATATAACATAAAGATCATTGTCGAACGAAACTTTCATTATTACTGTTCTAAGCGTAAAATGTTCTGCTGAGTTGTGACCAGTGGAGCTAATTCGTGTCAGGTACAGACAGGTATCTACTCAGACAATGGAAGATGATCGCGCGACATCATGGTTTGGTTGAAGTTAGACATTAACACCGTCAGATGCCGTCTCATTGGTCTAAAGGTTCTGGGTTCAAGATTGTGGATGTACACCGTTGAGGAGTTCCATAATAGGACAAAACGGCGGTTCAGTGCTTCCAGGTTTTCAATGGTGGTCTAACATCAATCGATTCATGGTTTCAATCGAAAGCTTTACAATCTCCACAACCCCATACTGATATGATAAATATTTGAAGTCTAAGTTGGTTGACAACGAACTGATAAAGTTTAAATTTATAATAACCCTAAAGAATTAAAACAGTCTCGAAGTTGTTAAAATAGATTATAATCAATTGTCATACAGAAAGTGTTTTTTTGGAGGGAACTGTGTTATGTCGATTGAAATCAATTGTATTCTTAACAATTTATAGTTCGTTGTTAAATAAACGCTAAAGCTTAAATACTCATAACTGAACAGTTTCACAAAGTTGCTGTTAAGACGATTTTACTAAATCTTAGATAAAAGTCTCATGTAAACAATCTATTGAGTAAGTCTTTGATTAGTAACTTGATTGACAACCTAAACAACTTACCAACTATCTTTATTCTATCACTTATTTACATAAAAATACACGAACCATATCATATTATTAGAAGAAATTGGTTACTTTTTTAATGTAGGACAATAAGGTGATGGTTCAGTGATTTCTATTGTGCATCTGCAAAGCTTTTGACTCTCAGAAGGTAATTTCATAATACTTTTTCTAAGCTCACATCTATTTGATGAGCTACAATGTTTCAGCTTAGGAAGTGTTATATCTAGAGGTTAGATTCTTAATATACCGCGTATAACTTGAGAACCTTGAACGCCAGAACCCTCTTAAGTCGCAAACGAGAAGACAAAAGACAAGTGAAAGGAATGCTATTCCAAATGGTGTCAGTTATGGTACAAAACTGTTAGGTATTTATAGTTTTCAGTAAAAACGAAATTATCATTATAGTTCTCTAATCCGCATACAGAGGGTTATTAGTATTTGTCCAATAGAAAAGCTACACGCAAGGATTTTGGAACATTCTTCCAAAAGATGATTAGATGGAATATCTTCGGCCCTTTCTGAACTTTTTAGAGCTTCCTCGAGTTCACCCATGGACTGTCCCCACAGAAAGACTTAAATAAACTACTGGCTCTCTGTGATGATTCAAGTAAAAAATAAGAAAAATAATCTAGATTATTCTTACTAGAAATCAAATTTTAAGTTCAATATTTGAGTTTAATAGTTTATATTTACCAAATATCTTTTTTATTTAAAAAAAATTATACCTCAATACTGTTTTGCATTGTTATATGAGAGCATAGTACCCTCCAAATATCGTAGGTTGAGTTATGACATTAATTTCAAATTTCCAACTCTGTAATAAAGATAGAAAAAATAACATGCATGCTTAGAGAACTAAAAAGGAAAATGAATGGTAATTCTACTTACAATGATCTAAAACCACGTGGCTCATGCCTACTTCATATGTATGGTTTACCAAAATTTCCCCTTAGACCTATTCTATCAATGATCAACTCATCATATCATATAGTTGCATGCTGGCTAGCAAAATAAAAAAACCTAGAGTCGGTTCGTCAGAGATTAACAACATATACGTTAAAAGATTCATTCCAATTTACTGATAGACTAAATCATACGAATATTACCAATAAGTTCCTAGTTTATTTTGATTTAACATTATTGTTCACCAGGATACTACTTATTGAAACTATGAATAATAATTTGTCAGAATTATGATCTCTTACCTTTATCAGCTCTGGAATTGAAAAAAATAAATTATTACTATTATTATAAATAAATAGTATATTTGGTTATTTATTCTCTGAAGAAGTGACTTACACTAAACCACGAGACGTCAGAAAATCTAATTTTTCTACCCATTGGGATATTACAAATATACTATTTATTTATAACAATCTACCCAATGTTCAATTTATTCGAAATTACCAAATCAAACCTTGGTAATGATACCTATATTACTATTATTTCCATAATTGAAATTATGAGTCAATTAGAACTAGATAACCATGGAAAACACGGAAACATTGGACGATCGTAACGTCCTATCGTCGGACTCTTCAGCACTGCGCATCCACGATCCTGTCTCGCGGGATTCGAACCCAGGATCTGTCAATTTCATGCGCGAATGCTTAACCTCTACACCACTGAGCTGGCCGGCATCGAACGGTGTTAATGTTTAACTTTAACCAATCGACTAAATTGCACCACCGTCTACCATTGTCTTCAGTGAGCTGATAAATCACAACAGACCTAGTTGAACTCCACTGGTAACGGCTTCTCACTAGAACTCCAGGAAATGCCTCTTGAAGTCAGTCACTAATGAGCAGATGATTATTATCAGAAGGGGTCTAGCTTCAATTGACTCATGATTTCAACTATGCTAATTGCTAAGATCTCCAGAAAACACCTTCTGATATTACTGTTATGTTATTCTGTTAGAAGCTTTATTCTTGCTCTTTTCAATACGGATATATTTATCATTAGTTTCTAATTAATTATGATTTAACTTTATTGAACTAATTATTATTTATAATAATAATCAATGATTTAATTAAATTTTAATATATTTCACTTAATTTCTTTATTTATTATTTAGATGAATTAGTCAATTATAAAAAATGTACAAATGAACTTCAAAAGTCACCTATTATTGATTGATTGATTGATATTTCAAGGGAAACAGAATGAAGAAATCGGACTAAGAACCTGAATAAATTCTATATATTAAAAATAATTATATCTTATTATATATATGATAGTTGAGAAGTATCATTAGTTAATATGATTAGTGAAACCATTTGTAGCACGTAAGATAGACGATGATCAAATCTACACGTTGGAATGAAGTGATCTCAAAAAAAGAAGAAAAAACTTTATCCATGAATTGTGAAAATATCAAATAAGAAAGATAAGTTGATGTTAAACATGTCATTTAACAATAAATACATCTCAAGCAGTATTCCGAAAATTGTGTGTTCTAGTGTTTCGTGACTTCATGTAAACCACTTCTTCAGAATAAATATAAATAACCGAAATCAAATTAACGCAAGTTTAAATCATTTCTTTGGTACTATTTCAACTTGTGTCAATTTACCCTGAAGAAGCAGCTTGAATAGAGTCGCGAAACACCAGGACGCACAATTTTTGGAATACTTATTGAGATATAACATATATATATATTTATTATTCACTTTCTATTCAGTACTCAATTTATCTGAAATCAGCTTTGACATTAATACCTATGTCAATTAACCTAATAACTACTCTAATTTGTTATATACTCTTTCTATATGACAAGATGAAAAATAAATAGATTTGTTAACGAAATATTATCACATGTTACAACAATTGTCTTATTATTCAAATAGAAATGAGGAAATTGTATTACATAGTCAATCTGTGATTACACTATTTATATACAAATTTGTTTACATAATTTTATTCTTTAATTTTCTAAATTGTGTTTCCATGACATGACAAATTGTCGGAGTTTAGTGATTACAAACCATAGATTGTATATGCTTTATCATATATATATATATATATATATATATATATATATTCTTATTGGATACTTTATTGTTCATGTAATGCCCATTGTAATTGTTTATTCATGTTAAAGCATTCCTTCTTTTTTTTTTCTCGTTCTATTACGTAATGTGAAATATTTCACTTCCATAGAGATATAACAAATAAGTAGTTGATATTACAAATTCTTTCGTTTGTTTCATTACAATTGATTTTATAAATTTTTTGAATTCATTTATCTTATAGACTCATTTCAATCAAATTAGATATTTGGATTCGAAGAGAGAATATATGGTGTTGTTGTTTTGGTTTCAAACACTATATCATAGTGATAATAGAGTTCTATATATATAATATACACTAAAACCATTTTGATACTAATTAATATATTGTCACTAGTGAGTGCATTCAAGAGGCATTTCTTGGAGTTCTAGTGTGAAGCAGTAACCAGTGGAGTTCAACTGGATCTGTTGTGAGATAGTAACTCACCGAAGAAAATGGTGGATATGTCATTCAATTTCATGAATTAGTTGAAGTTAAACATTAACACCGTTGGATGCTGGCCAGCTCAGTGGCCTAATGATTAAGCGTTCACGTGTGAGACCGATAGATCCTGGGTTCGAATGTCTTGAGAGGCGGGATCGTGGATGCGCACTGCCGAGGAGTCTCACAATAGGACGTAACGGCCGTTCAGTGTTTCAGTGTTTTCATGGTGATCTAGCTTCAATTTACTGATTATCTCAACTATTAAAATTACAAATCTTTTTGAAACTGTCCAAACCTAGTTTATGCTGATTGCAAATATCTAAGTTACTTGCTATTATCTAACAGGAAAAGAAAGTGAAAGAATGAGAAAGCTAATTGACTTCTTTAATATGTTATAATGTTTTTATAAATATTAAACTAATTTCACTTATCCCAATCATAAAAAATTATCTGGTCCTCTTATTCTTTTCCTCTCCTGGTAATTATAACCAAATTTTGGATAATTTGAAGACATGGAAAAAAAGTTCATTGATTCATTTAAAAACGAATAATAATTTATACAATCTATGACGTAATATGCAACTTGGATTAATGTCAAACTCAAAAAGCCTATTGATATATAGTAATTCATAGGTCCCCTTAAACTTGGCCAAACTTATAAAGAGTTTTTGCGTATTTCATGGTGATTTTCTATGTATCATTCTAAAATATCAATATGATTTATGTGTAATAAAACACACCTTTAACTGTAAAATTTCAAATAAAAAAAGTGTCGAGTCACCTAGACTGGTGGCCACATTGCAACATGATCGATAGCATTCGATCTGCACTAATAAGGACTAGACAAGCATGACATTGATCACCACCCAGTGATCAATCAATTGTGATTACATCTCAGTCCTACAGGAGGTCAGTCGCAGCTCGGATAGCTCAGTGGTAACGTCTGTGACTGTGAAGCTGGGTGACATGAGATCGAATCCGCCAGGGAGCACCAGTTCCCTCAAGATTACAGACACATCTTGCTGACGAGTGCCAAGTAGCATGAAACCCGGGTCCAGTGATCAATCATAGTATTAAATTATCTATAGACTAAATATAAAGTTACATTTTGTGAAACGATCAAAATGGAATTTGATATGTAATAGTATGACAGAAAATAAAAATTATGTAAGATTTTACAGGTTACACGAATGATTAACCCTAGTTAGACAGATATTGAAAAGCAAGAAACACTAGATAACTACTTTTTGATAATATGAAAATCCTCAATAGAGCACATACACAACTTGGTTGGGAATGGAACTTAAAACGTTTATGTCTCCTACACAGTGCTTAATATTTAGACCATTGGTGGCTACTTAATATTATAGATTGACTAAATTTAAGCGTATGAACCATTATATGCTGCCTCATCCAAAGTGACATCAATCCATAATCCAGGTAATTTTCACAGTTTCCTTATAGTAAAAGGGTCAGATTTGTTGGGTCAGTATCAGTTTCATAAAATAACTCCACCTGTAACACTTCTACAGTTGCTGCCGGTTCCAAGACCGGGTAAAGGAAGAGGGTTGGGCATGCGGTCGGCAACCCGATCCCGTAGAAAAGATCTTGCTGGAAAAACGCCAACTAGATTAAACAAATTAAATTATAAAATAACTAGACAACTAATTAAATAGTGATATGTTTGTTGTTCAATGATAAACTTTACAGGACGTTTCAGTGAAGTAAAATAATACAGAAACCCAAAAGGTAAAATACCTTCATGGTGATTTTGTTATACTTGTTTTTTGCAGGGCAAGATTATTAATCAAATTTAGAGCTGTATATTCAACCACTGGATGATAATATCCCAAGTCACAGAGTTACAATATCTCACGAACTCCAAAAAGGTGGGGGTGACGGACTAGCATATTCCATTCTTATACAGCTTCCTCCCACGACCTGTCACCTGATTATTAACTAACCACCTTCTCACATTTTTAAACTAGTCCGATCGTCAGCAAGTAATTCAAGAATATGGAACTCGCTGGTATGATATTCATGAACTACATCCATCACGACCAAAGGTACATTTAGTACAGGATAAATTTCTTAACAACATTATTACTTCGATATATTCATACACTTTTAGGTGAATATTTGGAAGTTTTTTTAACTTGAGAATGGTTCACTCCAACAATCTAAAATAAAAGATAACAATAACCGTAAGTAGTGAGTAATCAGTTATAAGTTGGGAAATTTACTACTGATCGAAGAAAAACTTATAATAACATAGTTTCTTTTGTCAACAAGGTAAACATTACCATGAACGTTGTTTCACTTAATATAAAATTGAGAATTTTTTTATTTGTTAATGTAAAATAACTTTAGTTTACACAAGAAAACGGTGGCGCAATTTCGTGGATTCGTTGAAGTTAAACAATAGCGCCGTTGAATGTCGGCTCAGTAGTTTAGAGGTTAAGCGTTCGTGCATGAGACTGATAGATCGTGGGTTCGTGGATGCGCACTACTGAGGAGTCCAACGATAGGATGAAACGGCCGTCTAGTGTTTCCAGGTTTTTCATTGTGGTCTTGCTTCAAATGAATTATGAATTCAACTAATTTTATTTAATCCCATAGCACCATTTCCTAATTATTCATAATTTTACACTTAGACACATTCACACACACACACACACCATTAGTAGTCGTATGTCTAAAATGTTCAATCAAAACAGTTATATTTCACAACACATTTTTAAAACAAATTATTTATCTAATGGGACTAACTATTATATGATATATTACTATTCTGTATATATTCAAAGTAAAATCAATGTCATATTGTGGTGTGTGCTACTGGTGTCAATAGATATAAGTAGTATATGTCATCAATTGAATGTGAAATGCCTGAAGGCAGAAGGTTAAGAAAATCAAAGAAAAGAAAATGAGAACAGAGAGTAATTGGTATGGAAATGAAGGAACAGTGAAGTCTGAAACAATTAACTGATATTTTTCAAATGAAGTATTTACTGAAATACATTCGATTGTCCTCACTAAAGTCCTCGTTCACCACCATATAATCTTAGTTAAAATAACATTTATACATAGCTCTAAGTAATGTATACTACATTTGAAACATTAAACTGAACGTATTTATCCTTATACATATATATTTTATAAATGTAAAATACTTAAATACGATATTTCTAATTCAGTATAAACAAACATTTTGAACGAATGGGAAATACTTTCTAATCAGGTCAATTATAGGAAACAGATAGTAATTCATACAAGTTCAAAATATAGGCAATAATTCCCAAGGCAATTGAATTAGACAAATATATCTATTAAAACCCATATGAATAACACCTGGTATAAGTTTTTGTCGTTTTTTTCAGCAGTTAAGTATCATATACACATTGATTGACTATGTAGTACAGAAATTACTACAATCTCCACCAAACCCCCTTCTGATTCTAGTACAGAAATGTTATTATATGAAGACAGATAGACTCAGATAAACGTTTTCTTTTTTTCTACAATATCTACTTTAAATACAATAGAGACAGATGTTGAAAATAATATTGAGGAAAAACTATCTCATTTCAGTACGGTGAACTGATTCAAACATGGGATACATGTGTCAAATATATTAAATAGAGGGAGGGATAGGCCAAATGTTTAACTAGAAATGACTAATTAGTTTTGATAATTTAATCTTAATCAAAATATAAATTT